AGTCTTCTCTCATTTTGTCTGACCAAGTGTTCTCAAGCACAGTTTTGCATTACTAATTAGCCTCTTGTTTCAAGTGGATATATATATATATATACAGTATATATATATACTGTATATATATATATATATATATATATATATATATATATATATATATATATATATATATATATATATATATATATATATATATATATATATATATATATATATATATATATATATATATATATATATATATATATATATATATATACCGGGTATATATATATAAACATTCTGCTAGTTATGATAATACTCCAATGGTTAATGGTCATATACATGAAAGAAGACTACGTATACCATTTATATAATAATCATCAACTATCAGTCTTCAGTCTCCAATAACTCTCCTTTTAACATTCAGCAAGAACTGCTCATTTTTACCTTCACTGAAGTCTAAATTGGTGATTATGTACCAGTTATAATAATTATTTATTATTATGTTAACAATCAAATGTACATAGAATAGTCACCTATTAAACATGTGCAGAGAAACATTGAAAGTGCCCATAGTTTTAAAAATTTTCATGAAGGCTGTTGAGAATCTGGGTTTAGCTGCTGCTAAAGCTTATACAGATATATCATTGTCTAGAGCTGGGAGAAGGAATTGTTCAGTAAAAGGAGAAGAATAAATATCTATCCCTGTATTGTGAGGATTAGAGGCAATCAACTTCCTTTGAAATAGGAGAAAATAAAGTACTCTTTGCCCTAAGTAATTTTCTTACAGCAATCCTTAGATTATGAGGTATTATATATTTAAAAAATCTACTTCTGTAATATCCATTCAAAACCAGATCCACATGTGATATAATCAATACCCAGGGTCATATTTCAGAGATCTTCACCATTTCCACATTCATAATCCATCAGTCAATCAAAATAAAGCTCATAATATCACTCTACATTTTCTCTTACACAATTTGAGGACAACTACTTATTTCATCATCTACTGTCCACAGAGTTAATAAAAAGTACTGAAAAAGTATGAAATGACCACTTAATTATTTTACAGTTATGCCAGTTAGCTGGTGTACATGAATGTTTTAACAGATAACACTGGACTTCCTAAATAGGAGCCTAGGTATTGGTATGAATGTATCTTCAAGATTTTCTTATTTGTAAACTTGTGTAACTATCATGTGTTCGCAATGAAATATAATGCAAGTGCTTCTTAAGGTCTTTGGATATTTTCAATGGTTGTCATGTGATATATTCCTATCATCATACAGATAACCGGAAAATGTTCGAGGTGTTTCTTGTCAGCCTTCAGCGCCATTTCAAAACCTTGGACACGGCTCATTGTTGCTTTGGGGTGGAGGAAGACAACAGTATTGCAACTTAGCTTTCCTCACGTTTAAAGGTCCAATTGAGAGATTACTCGGCACACCTACATAATATGGTGAGATTTACGCTTGTTCAAATTTGCCTGGTGAATTACAGTGCTCATTCAGACTTACTCAGCTAATAACAATACTTGGTTAAACTTACCCAACAATCACAGTGGCCACACAAACTAGCAAGATCACAAAACTGGATCTAGCTGCTTAGTCTGAAGGTGAGACCACACGAATGCATCCTGTCTTAAGCGATACTGTACTTAGTTACAATCACAAGTTCAACATAAGTCCTGTTATCCTAATTACAATCTTATTCTTCATTTAGTAGCCTTCGCTGTTGCTTTTATTTATTACAACTTAACATTCAGGCAAGAAGTGAATTTATTTAGAGCCATATTTTTCATAAATATGGCTGTATTTCAGAAAAAAAACATCATAAGAAACATCCTTGATAATCTGCAATCGAATCCTAACAATTAACAGCCTCTTACATCCCTGATCATAACCTCAGAGCGACCACGTATTACAAAAGCCGGCTGAGGGGATGGTTCACTATAACATTCAATTTCCAACCACGAAATGATCAGACCATGTAAGCTGCACACACGACTTAAAAGTTTAGTGTCCTGCTTCACAAGACAAAATCAGCTTTATCAAAGCATTGCATATGATTCATAATTGCAGGAAGTTTGTTGCGAGTCATGCGAGAAATAATGAGACCTTCGGTTTGACCTTATGAAGAATTTGGGTTACCATATTCTTCCCCCGGCATCCACGTCATCAGGGAAGTCATCGGACGTGACTACGCGAGGGCAGTGTGACAACAGCAGTTAGCCTAATTGAGCACATTCTGTAGAACAATAACAAGGAGGGAACAAGACACCTCAATGATATAGGTTAATTCACCAATTCTGAAAATATATAACATATATATCTTTTTCCATGAGGCTCATATTCCAATGGCGTCACTTGCACTGTGGGCCATACAAATGATCCTTGAAGTTGGTGAACTACTCTAATCACAAGATCTGCTACACATTGGTAAGTTTGCATGGCTTTAAACATAAAAAGATTTTGACTCGTGATTCTTTAATTTTTCATAATCAACTGGTGAGTTATCATATCATTACACTCTCTCAGAGATCAAAATGCTCTCCTACTCATACAAGTTTGATCTATCACCAAAAAATTTCTCAGTTGTGCAAGTGTAATATAAATATTTTGGAAATCTCCATTAAGATGCCATGGAAGCCTACCACCTGTGGTTCATACTGTATATACAACAAATGCACGCAGCAAAAAATAGATATATGTATATATATTTATATATATATAGTAGTCCAACAAAATACAAGCCAATGTAATAATAATACACATTATTATGCTTTAGTCTTGCCAATGCAAGCAATCCACAATGTTTTACTGGGAATCATCGTGCCTTTGTCATTACATCAGACAATACAAATTCATAACCATTTCTAGTTTGTTTGATACTTTTCAGACTGATGGACTACTTTCCTAACCATTCACATGCAGGGGTTATCTATTCAGAATGTTGCATTCAACACAAGACACTGTACATGAACAACAAGCCTGTCACATGGTACTGTTCGCATCTGCCCAAGGCCTTGCCACCATGTACACAATTCTGGCTCTGTGCTCCAATCCCTCAAGAATGGTGCAGGACTCAATAATCACACAACTGTGCTGGTATTGTATACATAGAGGCTACCTTTCTCTCTGCTCATATAAGTCAATCTACAGGAATACAAGTCACCTAAATGCATTCAATATTACATACATTTGGAAAGTCCATTATCAGACCTGATGTCGAATTATTGATAACAATTACTGAAAAATGGAGCTTCTACTTTCTACATACTGAATAAATTTTTCTTAGCCAAACTTGACCTGCCTTAGGCATAAGGCTGACAATATACTGCATGGATGGCTAAACTAAATTCAATTAAGTACAGTATGTAAAAAGAACAAGTTTTACTTTTAATTAATAGTGACCAAGGATCAGAACTGATGAGAGACTTTGAATGCAGTCTGTGAGCCTCACATCATGCACTGGAATATGGGTCTATGAAGTGACTCTTGTGCTGTATCTGGAGTCTGTTACTGTATTTGGCAGACTCAAAATATTGGTATCTTGGCATCATGTACGTTTGTAAACTGCAGTGACATAGTTAGACCGTAAATTACACTATCCCACAAACTTTTGTGTGTGGCACTGCTGAACTACTGAACCTTTCCAAAGACAAAAAGCGATTGAGGCTTTGGGCCAAAGAATTTCATAATTTTGTTAAAATAAGGAAATATATTTGGAATGTCATTCTGAATGTCTATTCATATTTTTAGAAACTGTTAAAACATAGATACTCCAAATAGACATTCAGAATCATGGACTTCCAATATAACCTTGTCCAAAAAAATAAAACAGTTGAAGTAAAACAAATCCTAATTGACTAACTGGATTAGTCATTGAAAGTTGAAAGCCTGGCCACATGATGATTTTATATGAATTTTTAGGAAAATTTGAGGATAACATTGTCTGGGTACCCAAGTGTGTATTACAGCAATTAATATGAATTATATTTAGGAGGGGCGTTCTCATACATATGCTGTACTTGTTGAAAAATCTTTACACTAAATGAGCCTTTGACAAGACAACCATGGATTTCATTGGACCTCAGGAAAATGCACACAAATGAAAATTCGTTTTATAAATATATTCTATTGGACTAATCATCCAGTAAACACTATACAGTATATATATTTCTTTTAATCTTTACAAAAAGGTCCCATAACACATAATGATAAAAGTGATGAAGCAAGTAGTAAAAATCCACACAGGTGCACCTGAACTCCAAGTGGTATGCCAGCAGCTAAAGATGCTGATTTACTTGCAAGGTGCTGCCCAGTTATCAATTTGTCCATCAATATATTACAAAATTACCATTTTAAAAGAAATCTTCACACTTGAGTCTGCTTGTATGTGTGTATATATATATATATATATATATATATATATATATATATATATATATATATATATATATATATATATATATATATATATATATATATATATATATATATATATATATATATATATAGTGTGTGTGTTCAACAACTAATGTCATGATATGGCAGTGACAAATGCTAGAATAATCCTGACCTAATGATTGTGTAGTTTACATTAAGCAGTTCAAGTAAATTGCTTTTTGAAATCCTTATGATGACAGGGACAAAAATTATTAACCATAATTATGGTTTCATTGTTAACATTCCAAAAGCATTTGAGCTTATGCAGGTCCAGTAATGACATGGATAGATAAATCTTATCATGGAGAGGCCCAAGCACTAATCCAGAATCTAATCCTATCAACCAGTCTCTTATTTGTGACAATGAATCCATTATTGTATTAATGTCATAAAAATCTGTCTCACACACTCGTATATATATATATATATATATATATATATATATATATATATATATATATATATATATATATATATATATATATATATATATATATATATATATATATATATATATATATATATATATATATATATATATATATATATATATATATATATATACTCTGTGGCTTTCAGTAATATACTTCACTTGCATGGCCACCAACATTCCACTAGGTTAATGCTCATTTCACATGGCCCCAATTACCTGAGTTTTACTATAAAGAAGTTTCAAGCAAGTTATTTGCATGGAGAGTTGTTGAGATGAAAGAACTTTATTCACAGAAATTTATATAATCCCCTTAGAGAGATGAATCATATTGTGGCAAATTTTTCAACTTACTATGGTCCATCCTCGTCAGCATTATATATTATAGAAGTATGTATGTGTCAACTTATTAGTATGTATGTGGGGCTGAGCTGAAATTTTACTATTCTAAATATCCCAGCAGTGGTAAGCTCAGCATGTTTACTGTATTGACTGGAAAATAGCTACATGGATAACAAGAAATCATCAGAATATTAACACTTTTTGTTGTATTCATGATACCTGTTGAGTGAGGTAGAAGACAAGTATAGGTAGTTGGGGAATAAACTAAAATCTTTCAAGCACATGAAAACCTGTACACAATGTTGTAATACACTTCAGTTGTTGAGTTTTATGGCCGGAGTTGGAAGGTTATTGTACAAATCATTGTCACTTGAGAACCTTTATATGCAAATTCCTACTTCTATGTTTTACAGCAATATTAAGCATCTTATCCAGTTTGCTTTAACAACAAAAATAAGAATTTTGCACATGAAACTTCTAGAGCGAGGATTTGGGCAGTATGCGAGATGAGGTCACTCTATGATAAATGTCACATTGGCTCTAAGCTACAACAATAAACATTATCTAGTAATGATCTCTACAGCTGGAACCTATAGCAGGAACTCACTTGGAGTACATATATAATATATATCTGATGGTCAAGTAAGAAAGTCTCTAAATGCCCAAGAGTTAAGGAGCAGCTCCCAGTGAGTTGCCATGTTCAGGCTCATGGTAGTTTGACAAACTGTTGTCTGATTCCTGAAGTGATGAATGGGATGGTGCAGGAGACGTTAAAAGAGAGGAGATGGGAGAAGTTAGGCTTGAAGTAAGACTTACACCAACTCCACTGCTGCCAGTGCTACTGTTGCTAATGCTCTGATTTTCCTCTTTATATGGCAGGGGAGAAAAGAGTGCATGAAAACCACTGTTATACTGATCACTTAGAGGAGCTGGACTGTATGGTGGTTGGGGATATAAAGGTGGGTTGAGATATCCACCATCATCTAGAGGGGACTGGCGATGATCTGGATAGGGAGTTTCTGGTAGTTGGTGGTCCAATATGTAGCTCTCCTGGTTGGGGATATATGGTGCTGGAGAAGGAGCTAAGTTCATTGCATGAGGTGATGGGCTGGATATCTCAATAGGACTCTGAGACAAATCCAAAGACTGTGGAGAATTCATAAAAGATCCAGGAGGTTTCATGTCTTGGTAATGATTAAGTAGGTTGTTAGTTGAATTAATGATTTGAGTTACAGTTGAATTTGGACTATGGCTCATGCTATGAGATATATCTAACATGGTGTGAATAGATTGGCTCAAGTTTGGGGACTGCAACATTCCTGGAGATGATGAGGGCTGAAGCATACTGTGCGGTGATTCCATCATACTTTGTGGGGACAGCATACTCTGAGGTGATTGTAACATGTTGTGTGGTGATGGTAGCATGGGGTGAGGAGATTGTACCATACTGTGAGGTGACTGCACCATGCTCTGTGGTGAATGGCAGGGCAGTGGAGGGGAGTGAATTAAAGAATTATTTTCTTGAGTAAGGTGATGCTGAGAGTTTTCAGATTCCATACTCTGCAACATCTGCTTCATTTGTTCTAATCCATTCCCTTGTAACATCTGCTTCATCTGTTCAATATCCATTCCATTAAGCATCTGTCTGATCTGCTCACCAGTTAGAGCTTCCACCTTACTTTTTACATCCATGGCAAGAGCTTCTTCATTTCCATTCATCTGCTGGATATGATGGTTCACACTGTTTGCTGTTAAAGGCTTTTGCCTTATCGCCATACTTTCAAAAAGTTCAGAATGACGTCGTAGGCCTTGGAGAGAAAGCATAAGCCCATCAAAGAGAGCCTTTCCAGATGCCTCACCATATTTCCAGAAAACATAATGCTGCAGTATACTCTGGTAGATTTCTCTATTAGCTTCTTGACCCTCATAACCCAGGACAATGATAAGAACAAGGAGATATGCCATCCTAGAATCCACATTAAATTGGCGAAGAGAACCAAGGATTTCTTTGAATTTATTAAATACCTCAGGAGATTGTGATTTCTGGATCATGCTCATGTTGGTGATCATTGGTTGTGTAGGACTATGCACATTGTGGTAGCTGCCTGTTTCTTCATTCACAAAGCTTGAAGCAAATACAAGGGCAATAACTGTAATGTTCTTCTTAATTGCCAGACCCTGAGTTTGTTGAGACAAAGAGTTAAACTCGGGAAACTGACGGAGAAATCGAGTGAGTCTCTCGGCAAAACGCTTGTATGTGGCCATAACCTCCATAGGTTTTGAACAGTATGGCAGCTGTTGATCAACTAATTTAATGTTACTGATCACACGTGTTAATATTTCAACTTCACCTGCATCCAAGTACTGTGATGCTGGATTGAAAACACGATCCACAGGTATGATTTCTTCATCACTTTCCCTTTTAATTCCCCTGCACAAATTTCTGACAGGACTCTCTTGTTTGGTTAAGATATGCTGGCGCTGATTACCTTCAGAATTTTGATGTACTGAAGGTGGAGGAATTGGTCCGTACTGTATTGGCGTGAGAGGTCCAGATACAGGGGTGGAAGGAGAACTGTTTGGCGATGAACCAGTAGACCCTAAGTCTGCCGGCTGAGTTGGCGAATGGTACGTCAGAGATGAACTACTACTATTTTGGTACCGAGATGATAAGTTTTTGGTGGAAGAGTTACTCGGGTAAGTAGAGCTCTCTTTTGAACATTCATTGGGAGAATAAGAGCCAGAGGAAGACCCCCGTCCTCCACCACCACCGCTTTCACTTCTTCCACTACCATTGCCTCCCACACTACCGGTACTCCCTTGCTGATACATCATCCTCTTGGTGAGTCTAGTCTTCATTAACTGGAGCCGCTCATCTTCACTCATTACCCATGACTTAGTCATTCCAATGCTCTCACACTTGGCAAACCTGTTCAGAGATGGAAGAAAAATGAACAAATATTAATTATTTAATTAATTAAATACTGTACTGTAATTGAATTACAAAATGACAAAAGTTGTTATACTTTGACTTTTATCCTCTTAGCCACTGATCGGCTCGTTAGCTGTTTGGGTGAACGATCAAGTCTCTGTTACGTATTGTTGGCAAGTACTGGGCATGCATCGACACCTGAATGTATCTGAGCCTGCTCCAGTGTTGGTTAAGTCTGGTCTTGAAAGAGCTCACACTCAGTGCCAACACAACACCCTGGCAGATTGTTCCAAGAGTTCACTATTCTCACTACCAAATAGTTTGCCCTCACAGTATTGCTTTTAACAACTTGTCAAATTTTAGATGAGGGTCACATCATGTCTACATTTGGTCATAACAATAGAACTGAGTTTGTGAGAGAGCACATTAGCAGGAATAAAACTGAAACATTAAAATAAAGTATCGGAATACTGTACTGAAGGATATTAAGTACAGGTACTGTAGTTATAGCAATGAAAAATGAAGGGAGTAATGTAGTGACACTTTTCCAAATTTTTAAACAACAGTATGTACAGTACTGTACTGTACTGTACTGTACTGTACAGTACAACAGTTCAGTATTTAAAATGTAAGATATGGCAGTAGAATCTTAATGGAAATGATAAACTGCCTATCATTACTAAGAAGGAAAATATGTACTGTAAAGTGTACAGTATCTCAAAAAAGTATCTGTCCACACTCTGTCTGAAACATTAGGAGTAGCAGATGATATAAATATTGGGATATGCACGTTCCTGCCCTGTATAGTCTAACATAAGTAATGCAATGTGTATTTATTTCGGTGTAATTATTATGATGTTTGGTTACCAAATGTAGTAAGGATCAGTGTCCTACAGAGCCATGCATACCAACCCTCCCCAGACATCATGAGTTGCATGTAGCATTTCAAAAGTCATCGGACCCATCCAGGTAGATATAGTACAGTAGTACTTTTTCGAGATACTATACATGAAAATATTTAAATATAAATTGCCTGATTAAATATGGGAAATAAAACGCAAGACACAAAAGAAAGAGCAAATAAATATAGTACGACCATAGATGACGAAAATTAGATCCCGGTAATCTTGAAAATTGCAGCTACAAGCAATAGAGTTTTACAAGGATTATGATTGTTGAAAACTAGTAAAGAACAAACACACACATACACATACACTCCCATACTGTATACAGTATAGATATACAGTAAGACCAGTCAGACTTCTGTAAGTCAGAAACCCCCATAAGTTGGACAAGCTCTCACTTAGGAGGGGTTCTGTGGGGTTAATATAATAAAAATTATGTTACAATATACTGTGCTGTATCTACTGTACTTTTCAAAGAACACACAAATATGATGGATGAAATAACTACAGTAATACTACATTGAGTACTGTATTGCTAAAGTTGACCCCAAGTGTTAAGCAAATTTAAAATCACAGAGCAGTGTTGGTAGTTTATTCAACAAGTAATAGTAGATTTTGCTATTCACCTTCTTTAGCAATCAATGCTATTTCTTCTTTAATATAATACTAGCGGAATCATTTCCCTAGGTTCAAGATTTCTTAAGAGCATTATAGGAGTTCCAATCTTGAGAGTGAGGTGGTGAGGAGGCATTCCAGCGGGCTCCAAAGAATTAAGGAATTCTGCATGGTACTGGACTGCTTGGTCCTGGTCGATTACTGTATCAACAGATTTGAATGAGGTCTCACTGCCTGGAAGCTGTCTGAGTAGAGTCATGTTGATTTCAGCCACTGTTTCATTCTTTGATGCCAGAATTGCGCGTTCACGCAGCCGCTTGTGATCCTTGTAGTGGTGGATAATGTTTGGGTAGACCATGTTAGTGAGCTCAGTTGAGGACTTTACAACATTTCCACATCCTTTTCAACCTCTGTGTGGTTTAATGGGTCGGGTCCGGTTGGGTGTGTCGGATCGGGTTGGTTGGGTTTTTTTTGAGATCCCCACATGACATTTGCTATCCATGCCAAATTTGGTCCGGGCGGCTCATTCGCTAGGCCACGGTAGGACGCCACCCTCTGGGAGGCTCCACATTGTCTCACTGTTCAGTCCCCAAAACTTCTTCCATCAATAGTTCATTAACGGTGTATGTAAGTTCCACTACAATGGTACAGCAAAGTATATTTTTTTAGCAATAAACTGTTATTATTTTATTGTCTAATCATCACTACATATAACATCATCCATCATCACAACATATAACACCATCCATCATCATTACATACAACATCCATCATCACTACATATAACATCATCCATCATCACTACATATAACACCATCCATCATCACTACATATAACATCATCCATCATCACTACATATAACACCATCCATCATCACTACATATAAACAACATCCATCATAGCTACATATAACACCATCCATCATCATTACATACAACACCATCCATCATCACTACATATAACAACATCCATCATCACTACATATAACAGCATCCATCATCACTACATATAACAGCATCCATCATCACTACATATAACACCACCCATCATCACTACATATAACATCATCCATCATCACTACATATAACAGCATCCATCATCACTACATATAACACCATCCATTATCACTACAGATCGGTAAAGTAGGTTCCGAGATTCTCGTGCGGACACACAAACACACATACTTCTTTGTTTTATATATACTGTATAGATAAAATGAAGGGACTTGAGTGATTGGCCCTGAGGTGAAAGGCTGGCATTAATTTGGTGGTCCAACATGAAACTTCACAATAAGGTTAACAGAAGATGTTGAAGGACATAAATATGGGGTGAAAGTAAAAATGACATAGAACTTGTTAATACAGTATTCTAAAAAGGAATGATCATATGAAGATACAGTCCACTATGTTGGGAATTATGTAGTAACTGTGGTAGTGTAGGATAATCTGCAGAGGTCTCTATTAAACGGAACGGGAAGTGGCAAGCTGGGTTAAAAAAAGTGTATATTGTCAATATCTAGCAATAAATGCTCTGAGAAAAAAAGAACAGATTAAAATAGGTACAAAAGGTTCAGTTAAAGTCTGAGAAATTGTATACTGTATCCTTAAGACTACAAATACAATTGGAATTAAGAAATACTGTACAGTACCTGTATAGTACATGTACTACACCTTTATTAGTCTTTCAATAGGCATGAGGAAATTTTTTTTTTAATCCATTCATAAGCATTTCAAGACCATGTTTCAATAATGACTGATAATTAAATTTCTTAACAACATTAGCAACAAATTATCATGAAAAACTACAACTGAATCTATTGAGAACACAATGTCAACTAACCTGCAGTATTTGCAAAATTTTCTGGATGCAATAGAAATAGCACACTTCTGGTCTCCTCCGCAGCGGAAGTGCTTGTAGGCATCATTCTGAACTGACCGTCGGAAAAAGGCCTTACAAGAGTCACATGACAATCCCCCGAAGTGCAATGATTTGGCAATGTCTCCGCATACCTGTTGATGATGGACATGATGTAGGTCGTGATGCATAATTAAAATCTCAGTTAATGTTTGTTTTTATCCCAAGGTATTTGGGATATTTTACCATTACCACTAGGATTCCTTTTTAGGTTAGCTTAGGTTAGGTCAATTAAAAAACACAAAAATAAACTAGAAAAGTAATACGTATCTCATTCCAATTGGGGAAATTAGGATAAAAACTAATTTTTAAAAATCTCTCTTCTGTCTTTCTCTCCTTCTTTTCTCCCTCTCTCTCTCTCTCACTTGTGGAGGGAACTCACCTGGCAGAGACGCACAGGCTTCCTGGAGGGAGTGTCGCCGCTGGTGGGCACGGCGGCGGGGGGGTTCCGTGGCACTACAGACATCTTGGCAGTGCCACCGCCAGTGCTGCCACTCACCACACTGCCGCCTCCACTGGCCACACCTATCTCACTGCTCTCCTGGCCTCTGCTGAGAGAAAGGACAGGGTCAAGGACATAGTAGGTACAGTACGGGTATATAAAACAAATACACATACGTATACTGTAGTACTGGTGTTAAGAATAGCCAACATTCCGTAAAAACGTGGCCACAGTTACCTTCCAATATTTAAAGGGCAAAATACAGTACTTGATGAAACTGACCATCCTGTGACAATAAAAGACAGTGGTTGTCTTGGTAACAGAAGACAATGGCAGTCATGATGAATCAGTGTTAGTGGTACAGTATTACCGATACAAACAGTACCATAAATGTTAATGAAAGTAGTATATAATACTGGGGCTAAGACAAGTTACCTATGTGCTAAAGACAATGACAGCATAAATAAGGGTATTCCTCTAGCAATACTTATAAAAACAATTGCAATTAAAGCATTATGGTAACTGACGTATTAGAAATATGATAAGTCAGAATGATCATTATAATCAAATAAAGGTGCCACTATAGTATTCTTAAAGAGAAGTTATAAGAGATAATGAAGGCTAAAAGTTAATGGTAAAGTAATATCAAATATACACTATGTAGATGATACTGCTCTTATCACAAATAGTGAAGGGGCATTACAAAAACTCGTTAACAGATTAGTGGAAAAGGGTGGAAAAAGTGAAAATATGGTTTAAGAGTTAAAGCTCTAAAGACGAAAGTAATGGTGGTTTCCAAATTGGAAATAAATCCTAAAATAAAATTATGGTAGGCAACAGGGAACTTAAACAAGTGGAAATTTTGCATACTATATTTGGGAAATAACATTAGCTGTGATAATTAATGAACAGAAGAAATAAAAACAAGAATAGGGCAAGCTAAAAGACCTAATGAAGAGAGACATTAACTTCAATTTGAGAAAAAAGCTGCCGAAAGGCTTTACAGTTTACAGTATATGGCAAGGACTATTGTATGGGCGTGGACACCCTCAGCAGATACCAGAAAGAGGTTGGAGGCATTTAAAATGTGGTGTTATATGCGAATGCTAAGAATAAGCTACACTGATAGGAAAACAAATAAAGAAGTACTAAAATTAGCAAAAACTTCAAGAGAAATACTTGAAATGTACAGAAAATTAAAAATTAGATAATTTGGTCATATAATTAATGATGAGGGGATAATAACAAATATTATTAGGCAAGGTTGAGGGTAGGAGGGGGGAGGGCAGGGGATGGCAGAGACTGAGATGTTTAGAGTAAAGGACTGTGGCCGCCAACCCTCTGATATGAGGACGGTACTCTGGTTGATAATATGCGGTCTATCGAGCAGCTGAGTAGGTATACCGGGAAATTTACACTCTACGTCCATTAACCTTAACTAACGTAAATTTGCTTAAGTTAAGTTAGGTTAGGTCAGGTTACTGGACGATAGTTTAAATATCCTGGTAGACCAACTCCAGCTAGGTAGACCGCATAGAGTAGCCTATAGTGTGAATATCTCTCACAGTGGCGTAGATATGTTCAAGGAAAAGGGGGGGAGTCCCTTGAGTCTCAAGATAAGGCTATGTAAAAGGATACCCATTATATTTTTCATTCATTATTTTAAGCAAGCATATTTTATTTGCAAAAGAGTAAAATAAGCTGACATACAGTAGGTTTAATTTGCAGTTGCATTTTTGAAACTTATAAAACAAATTATACAGTGTACAAGCAATTGTATTCATGCAACACAAAAGTTTCTTAGCATAAAAAATATATATACTGTTAAAAGAAAACACATTTTCCTCTTCTAGCAGTGTTGCATTAATTAAGTACTTGGTAATGGAGTTAATATATATATATATATATATATATATATATATATATATATATATATATATATATATATATATATATATATATATAGAGAGAGAGAGAGATTACTTGTGAAGTCCAAAGTCAAATAATCTGTTCTTACAACCAAATTAATTGATGACCTTATCGCACTTCAAATAATCTTATGATGTATCACCATTTCTGTACATTTGCAACACATCCAGGTAGTCCTTCACATTATCAAAAGCTTGTACCAGATCTACCTCAACACCTTACAATTTTTTATATAGAGGTCTCGTAACATTTAAAATAGCTGATAGAACCTCCATACTTACAAGGAAAGAATCTGATGACATACTCTTAAGAAAGCTAGAGATTTTCCCACCAAAGTTGAGTTCTTTGATGCAGAAAAGTATTCTAGCGTTTTTACTAACAAATCAACTCTGTATTTGCTTTATGTAAGTTATGGCAACAGACCTTATCCGTTAGTTTACCTTAGCTGCTCTCACACCTTAATGTAGAAGGTTTACATCGTTCAAAGAAAAAAAGTTGCAAAGGAGTAGTAGTTGTGAGAAGAAAGGGGAGGTGGACGAGAGCTCCCCCCCCCCCCATAGACGCAACTGCCAGTAGACCGAATACTTCAGTAGTATATATATATATATATATATATATATATATATATATATATATATATATATATATATATATATATATAGGAAAGAAAACACGAAGATCGTGTTTTCTTTCCAGATACCTAGATCACGCGCACCTACAGTGATTTACTTGCATATATATATATATATATATATATATATATATATATATATATATATATATATATATATATATATATATTATAGTGATAGCTCTAATAATGTAAATAAAGGTAATGATAATAATGAAATAAGTAGATGTTCATAATGATATAAGTAGGGTAGGCCTATAGATAACAATAAAAATAGCTGCCTACTAGAGTATCTAACAACAAACGATGTAATGTATGGATAAGGGATATGAACAGGCAGAGCACTAGAGGGTGTGTGCACAATTTTATGGTATCTTGGTGTTTACGGTAGGGCGAAAAACTCTCCTTTACAGCTATAAGGTACTGCAACAAGTAATCTGACCAAATTAAAATCAGTAATATTATAAAACAATTCAGAGCTAAAACTAAAGAAAAATACATAACCGATGAAGCTACAGCAAAAGAAGCGAGTATGTGTCTATATTATTACCCAGAGGGCGTTGTATTGATCCGCCAGTCTCGGATAGAGCAAGCGTTATATAATGTTTGTTATTTTTATCAATAAACTTTCACTTTTATTCCTGTAGATATACCATTACTGATTAGTAACGAAGCCCAAGCAAAGAACCCTACTGGAAATGCGCATCTGATGGGTTTGTCGGCTACCCTTGGTCTAATTGCCTGACTGTTTACTATTTTTTTTTAGGAAAGTCTTCGAGGTAGTAGATAATGACGGAAATTACGATGTTATTTACTTAGACTTTAGCAAAGCATTTGACAGAGTACCGCATCAGAGGCTTCTGAGAAAAATTAAGGCTCATGGTATCGAGGGGAAAGTTTTAAATTGGGTAGAACACAGAGGGTCAGCGTAGATGGTGTTAAATCAAAGTGGGGCCGTGTAACCAGTGGGGTTCCCCAGGGGTCAGTACTAGGCCCACTCTTGTTCATAATCTACATAAACGATCTAGATACTGGGATCAGCAGTGACATAAGCAAGTTTGCGGATGACACCAAAATAGGGCGGCAGATTAATTCAGGGCAGGATGCAAATGCATTACAGGAGGATCTAAATAAACTGCAGGGGTGGTCTGAAAAATGGCAAATGAAATTCAACACCAGCAAGTGCAGCGTACTTAATATTGGAAAAACAAATACTGTCAATGTATACAGCCTTAACAACATCAACCTAGAGAAGTCGACTTGTGAGAGAGACCTAGGGGTACTTGTAAGCCCGGATCTACGGCCTAGAAAACAGTGCGTTAATGTTCGAAATAAGGCAAACAGAGTATTGGGTTTTATATCTAGAAGTGTAAGTAATAAGAGTGCAGAGGTCTTATTGCAACTATATCTTGCGCTAGTCAGGCCGCACCTCGATTATGCGGTTCAGTTCTGGTGCCCTTATTATAGAATGGATGTCAATTCACTAGAGTCGGTGCAGCGAAGAATGACGAAAATGATTCCGGGACTTAGAAACCTTCCATATCAGGATAGGTTAAAGAAACTAAACTTGCATTCCCTAGAAAGACGAAGAGTGCGGGGAGATATGATAGAAGTATTTAAGTGGGTGAAAGGAATCAATAAAGGGGATATAAATAAAGTTCTTATAATATCCGAGCAGGATAGGACTCGAAGCAACGGATTTAAGTTGGATAAGTTTAGGTTTAGGAGGTAGATAGGAAGGAACTGGTTCACAAATAGGGTGGTGGACGAGTGGAACAAGCTTTGCAACTTTGTAGTAAGTGCTGGAACGCTGGAAAGTTTCAAAAGGAGATTGGATAGATTCATGGATGATAGAGAGTGGTAGTAACTCTCGACAGGAGCTGCCATGCACAGGCCAACCGGCCTATTGCAGACTCCTTATTTTCTTATGTTATTGCTGTATAACTTGTATGCGCCGTCAAGGTAGTACACAAGAAATTGTATACCTGGCACCTGCACGATACCCGTGTTGTCTATACACATGCTGAACTATACCTGAATAGTCTGTTTACATACAAACCAATTGTAAACGTGTATGTTTTCTAATTATTATTATTATGATTATTATTATTAATATTATTATTAATTAATAATATTATTATCAATATTATTATTATGTTCATGTATCACCTCCCTCCCAACCTGTGAACTGCATTTATATACACACTATGAGATGGCTCGTCATTTTTTATTTAAGCAGATAAGTGTTGGATGACTTGGCTTAAGGCTTGCGTGATTCCTTCATTTTTGGCATAAATTACTAGAGATGGGAGGAGAAAATAAAATTGATGAAAGAGATGAGGAGACTGAGCGAGGTGTGGGCGGCCTCTCATAACTCACGCCCGAGAAGCTGGACATCTCTACGCTTCCTCTTGAGTCTTGAGGCACCAACTTGTTGCAGTCTTTCACTGACACAGAAACAACAACGTACCTCCCTCAACTTAATATAATCACATTACCTGGGGTATACATTATCACACACTCATACTAATGTCATTCCTTTCTCC